CTTTATTATAAAAAGCCTAAAATAAATTAAAAAATAAACTCGTACTGTCAAGAGCACATCAAGCTTGACACTTTGTACTTTGGACCGTTCTTATCATAAGCGGCATAGAGTTGGATTTAAGTCTTAAGTGTCAAACTTGACGTGCTCTTGACCCTGTACCTTTGATATAGCAAAGCCACATATGTGATGTACAAACTGCTTTTATCCCATGAAAATCATAAAAACAATACGCACTACATAAAACAAATTACTTAAAATGCGAAATTTTATAACTCACGTATTTAATTTCATTCGTAGAATCTTTGAGTATCTCTACTGAAAAGTTTTTTGTTTGCAGATGTCGCCTTAGGGTACAAAGGCTGCGAACTCTTCCTTTATCTTTTGGTCAAGTCAAACTCACGTTCGTTCAATTATACGCTATGAATACAACAGTTTGCTTGCAGTTTGTTAGATATTCTAAGACACAATAAAACATCACATCGTATAGATGTATGTCTACTAAATTAGCATTAAAAAGGTCGATTTTAACATTGTTTATCATAAAACGTCTTCTCGAATAACAACATCGTCCTTTACAGTTTGTTGAATAAATTAATGTCTAATCTTAACGCTTTGTAAAATATACTTAGAATAATACTTATACACACTAACTCATGCACCTTGACAGGCATCTCAACATGGGAACGAGAGACGCAGACGTTAATTATAATTTATCCTGGAAATACTCGCTTTATTTCAATTAGTAGTTTCAATTAGGTAGTTTATTAAGCATTTTTATTGACGTAAGATGAGATCTAGAGCTTATATACCAATATTCAATTTAGAGGTTGTTTATACAAGGTTGTTTTTATTTCGAGGAATGTTATATCGAGGAGAATCTCCTACTCTTTTTTATTGAAATTAGGGTAAATTTATAAAAATTTGCAAAATTCCAGTATTATACGTTACCTGATTAGGTCTTTTGAAATGTGGCTTACAAAACCTTGTAAGCCACATTTCAATTACAAGACTTACATAAAAATCTGTATACCTTTTTTCTGTGAGGTTAAGAGATGTCGCGCATTTACAATGACTATGATAAATACTACTTTTTATTTTTGTATGTATGTTATACTATTACTCCAGTATTTGTGAACCGATTTTGATAATTCTGTTTTTGGAAAGAGTGTACCTCAGTTGGTCCCGTTTAAATTTGAATAAAATACTCCACCTCTAAATGTCGCAAACTAGGGTATGATTCCGGTTTCGCGCACTTTCCGGTAACCAACCTCAATAAAACTTGGCAAATAGATGTAATTCACGAACTTTTGAGGTCAGTTTTTTTTTTATAAAAAAGTTATAATTATTACTGTCTACTCTTTAATCTGTATTCCCCAAAAGGACTGTTTTCTAAAGTCACCATTATGGCGTGGCGTGGGTGAACTGGAAACAATGCCATTATTACTAAAATACTATGTTAATCTTAAACGTTGGATAAATAGAACGAAAATAATATTGGCATTATATAGTGATAAGTTATTGGTGACTAAGTTACTTTACTGGTGATCGTACAATTTAGTTAGGTAATTATCCAGACGATAAATCTTGCACCGCCTTCTTTTTCCACGAAGCGTCAACAACCTTCTTTTCGCTCTGATCTAACACGAAGGAAATGTGATGGAGGAACTGAAAGGAACTTCCTAACGCAAAATCAAAACTGTATATGTGGTGCTAGTATAATATGACAATCCATGAAATGATTTATGGACAGTCCCATAGCGTACTACTTACTTAAATTTTTGTTTTTAGTGCCCTTCCTAGCAACATTTGGTTATTCGGGATAAACACTATTACTTATGTAAGCAAGCCTGCACAGGGACCTTATCAGTCAGGTCCTGACCCCAGATCAGCCCGTTGACACAGACTTCAACCGGTTTTTAAAAGTTGTGAGTGAGAATACGCGGTGCTCTATTGTCAAGAGCGAACCGGAGCTGTTGGATCGCTCACCTCCTGTTATTTATTTATTTGGTTCTCCAACAATGAGTACAATAAGATATTTATACAAAACATAAATACAATTGCCGCATTACTTAGAGGAGAACACCACGTGCACAATAATGTGTTTATTTTTTTTACATAATTTTAACATTCTATGAAAAATACATATTAAGAGAGAAAAGAGAATCTATAACTATTCGTGTAATACAAGTCTTTTAAGTAAATTCACACACATATTGCCAAATCCGCTGAATTGTAATATTGCATGTAAAGTGCATATATCCGAGAGAGGAGACAGTGTAATCTGAGATTAGTACGATGTTTTGGAATGCAAAACAACTTCCTATTATTATTTCTCTCTGGTCAAATTGGAGCGCTAAACTGAACTTTACTTAATAAATCTGAACGATTACAAACTCCAGTGACTAATTTCTTCAAAAATCTAAGTCGCGCATTTTGCGTCTTGTTTCAAATGTAATAAACCCAAAATTGTGCATGGTGCAAAACGGTCCAAAATTATGCATTGCACAACTAGCAATTGCCACCACTAAGTCAGTGACTCTAAAGTCAACTACCAAATATCCGGTATGGTGACAGCTGACCTATGGACAGACAAGACCTAAAGTTCTTTGGACCTTTAAACGTATAAAAATAACTCGATGAAACCTCTAGTAATCGAGTGCCGGTTCCGAGGTAAACGCCCATGTGTACGGACGTTACTAAATCAGCAAACAGCTCCTTAAATCAGGTGTCCCACAACGTCTCTAACCTAACCAAGTAAAAGTGTCACTAGAGTTGCTATGATAATCACCTGCCCGCAAACATCATCAGCACAACTATGCCACTCGGGCGAGAATTCCGTTGCTCCGAAGATATTAAGTATTGAGTGATTCAGACCCAGACAACTTTATTCCTACGATCACGCAAATATCCAGTGTATATTATGAAAATATCGCATTCAGATTTTTGACGCTATGTATTCTAGAAAAATGTGTTTTTAACACCAAACTGAGGGTATATATACTTGGGCCTGACGCATGTAATTATATTTTGTACATTTTAATTACATTAGTAGTAGCAGTTGCTGGATGTTAGGAGGATAAATTTAGGTTATGTTAAGCATTAATTAAGTAGTGCATACCTCGGAACTAGTTTCCCATTCTGTTTTAAAGATTTTACGTCAACTTGTATTTTATTTACTTACTTTTTATTTCATGACATGCATTTGAAATGCAATTTCTCCAGGTTTGAATCACTTCATGGCTTTCAATATTTTGTGAAATGGTTTTTTTACTGCCTGTTACGAACCGATTTAAGGTTTTGGTTTCATTTGAAAATTTCTTAATATTAATTTCATCTCTCGTTCTGCTACATTTGGTATGACGTAATTTAATTAAGCTTTCCTCATTCATTAATTTCTTTTTTGATTATGAAATGCGAAAGTACGTCAGTATTAATTCCTTTTCTGTAACTATTGTTAGAAGATGTACAAATACCATTATTGTTCAGTCAAGAATTCAATTGATAAATTAAATGAATCGACAAGAATGGTATGGAGATGAAAAATTAAACACGTATAGAAAGTAAATATTATGAAATATATATAAATAATTACTTTAAGAATGGACGTAAATCTTTTACACTAAATAGATACTTTATTATATGGAATAAGCACTGGCTCACTTTAAAGAATGTCTTGCATCAAAAAATATTCTTATAAACTTTAAACTATGAACTAATTAATACCTACATTCAATCTACGCAATGGCATTGGCATTGAGTTTCTTCATTGGCCACTACGATTATATTGAATTGTGTTATTTTTTACCTTGGATGACAATTTGAGTTAATAAATTACAGCCAATCAATTGACAAAACCTATAACCAATTGTTAAACCCGTATGCTCACATTACAAAGCTGTCCTCCTTGTCATAACCAATGCATTTGCATTTTGTAACTTTCGATATATTAGCACCTTAAAGGTGTTTTTTCTCTGAAAAATATCAATTACGCTATTTTCCTTAACAATAAAACTGAAAGTAAATAAGATATAAAAAAACGCATACAGGGGGTTGAGATCGTGTTGCTTATTCCAGATATTTTCTATTTCGCTAAAATGTCGATTACGTTAATGATGATAAGAAGGGCAGAAAGGTATTCATTCCTTCACTCACTTTCGTATACATAAGTAACTCGGAAGAAACAGTGCTAGTAAAAAAAATTAGGCTAGTAAAAAACTAAATCAAGTGTTTGATGAAGTTGTCTTGGTACAATGTAGAAGTTTATTGAAATATTCAAACGAAATTGTTGACAATTCTCTTTCACGCTTGTTTTCCATACAACTAATACGTGTTTGTGTTGCAATATCAGTTTTATAAGGTACTTACGTTTATAGCTTAAACGAGTTGACTTCATTCTTGGTATTTGTTTTGATGGTGCAAAATATAATTCAAAATTGTGCGAAGATTCGACAAGTATTTAAGAAGATTGGAAAATAGTATCATACTTCTTATGTGTACACATAAAACTCATTCTTACGCAACTGATAAATTTTAATAGTAATAATTTTCAAAAAAAAAAAAAAGTTTTTCGGAAAATGGGAGATAAAAACTTGGTTTTTAAAAGGGATTTTTTTTTTCAAATAATTACAATAAAGCCACATGTGATCATGCGCCAAAAGTACTTTTATCACATGTAAGTTATAAAAATAATAAGAACTAAATGAAACAAATTATGTATATATGAAATTTTATAACTTTCCTATATTTTCAATTTCATTCATAGACTCTCTCCTGAAAAGATGTCTTTTTGCAAATGTGACCTTGTTACCCCAAGGGTGTGAATTTAAAGTGTTTAAAATAAACAATCAATGTTCGTTTGTAACAAATTGTTTGTTGACCGTTCTTTATTGGTGCATACATAGAATATAGGCTATTCCTATTTACTTTTTATGTATTTAAATCGGCTGAAGAGAACTGTTTTATACACTAACGAAATAAATACAAACAAAAATTAAACATACCATAACACCAACCAAGTGCAGCAACGAACACACTTAACACCATAAGGCACCTCATATCGGCAATTGTGAAAAACACTTGAACTTCAAATCTTCGAATTAACTCAATTGATCGATAATTGAATAATCAAATTTGAAGACGACTGGTTCCAACGAATACTGAATATATAGTGCGGTGCGCCGGACCTCAACGTATATTAAATAGTTCTTATCACATTACTATAGTTTTTGCATGACGTCGTCTGAGATTACCGGTTTTCGTTTCACTGATGGAAATAAACGGCTTGTTTATTAACAATCAGCACGATTGCTTTAGTTTTGTTTAAATGATAATTGTTATTAAGAGTATACTACCCTCTTTATCATAACTATCGCATATGCATTTCAGTAAGTATCTAATGTTTAAGGCTCAACTCACACTAACGCAGAGTCGAAGCGTCGCGTTGTGTCCTGTTTTTCAACTACAATTCATGGCGACGCGCGTCGTCGCGCGGCGTCTGACGCATCGCTGCGCGCAACCCACACGGCGCGCGCGGCGTCTCTCGCTAACTTAACCAAGCATTGACGCGCAGAAAACAGAGATGAATATGCTACAAGCGAAAAACATGACGCGTCGCGACGCTTCGACCTAAAAAATTTTCAATTACGATGATCTGCCGTCCACTAACTAAGACGCGGCTAAGTGACATGAAGTCAAATATTTGTTTCGAATATCATAAGGTAGAGCCCAAAAGTCTCTTCTATAAACAGTTAAAGTTACTTAACGTGTCCGATATATCGAACTTACCCTTGTGACGCATATCCAATTTTCTAAAACTGGCTCATGTTTTTTTTTATATCTCAAAAAATGCTTTTTTCACATAGCCGCGTTTTAGTTGCTTTTTTGGATGGCAGTGATTTTGCTCAACAATAAAACTGAAACTAAATAAGATCTTTAAAAACTGTTACGGTTAGAGGGGGTTGTAGATCTCAGTTTGCTGATCCCAGTTATGTTAATATCTCAATTTCGCTAAAAATATCGATTACGTTAGTTATGATTAGGAGGGTAATATAGGTGCGCTAACCTATCCCATAAATTCCAGCTCACAGTATATTGGGCCAAAGTGACATGATTCTGCGGGTTTGTAGCATCTGAACCCGGGGTCAGTTTAAAGTTGCCACGGAACACGAATGAGCCCAAATGCGAGCGTTGTGTGTTCCGAGACCGGTTGCGAGATTGACGACGGCCTAGTAGTTGTTATATTTGGGTTTCTATATATCTGTTTTTATTGAATAATAGTAATATTCTTTATTTCTCCACAAAATACAAATAATCCATACATAAGAATCTTAATCATTTTAAGACACATTACGCATTTCGAAGGAGTTAGTACTTGTTAAAGACTTAACACCTGTGACTGCATGTCACAAAGCCCTGACCTCTGGGAAAGACATATACAAACTCAAGGCATTACTAAGTAGATTACGTTCAGATTATATACAAACGTTCACCCATACAGATTATGTATGGGACAACATTTAATTCATCATTTTGTAAGTTGAAATGACTTGAAAACATGTGAATGTTCTTCTGAATAAGAGTTATCCTCTCTTTCTCCTGTCGCTCATGGACTTCCCTGTACAGGATTATTCCTGTCTGATTACCTACAACTGATCCACCGCCAATTTTGAATCCGAACTGATCCGCTCTACATTTAAATTTATTATATAAATTCATTTTCAAACTTCCTTTTGAAAATTTTCCTTTTATCGATACATGCAGCTAATTATCCATCCTGACTCGCATTTACGTGTTCTTTTCTTCTATGATATTTGTAATAAAAAGGCTCGACCTTGTAGACACAATGTAGCGTAACATGGTTTTTCCGTTTTCTGATTTATTTTATTATTACATATTGCTGTATGTCATCGGTATTTAAAGTAATCCATCATTACCACCCAAAATAGTTGCAGCCAGGTAAGCTAGAGGACTATACCTGACTTTTAGATTGCCCATCTCTGCACACGACTATCGCATTATCGATTGTCGTGTGCAGAGATGGCAATGTGTTAAACCCCTTTCTTTATCCGGGTAATTTAAACGCATTTCTGCCCAAAATCGTGAACGAAAACATTATACCCGAAAAATAATACGAAATTTGATATAATTCCACACTTATTAGAAATTTCGATGCCAAAAATCTTTTTTAGACGAAAAAGAGGCAACTCCACACAATACCCACCTGGAAATCCTGTAGACTCTCAATTACTACTAGGGCTGTACATTGCGATGATTTGTATGAAAATCGATTCAAGTGTACATATCAATTCATTTCAATGCGATTTTAAAGCGAATTCAGTTCTTAAGAAAAAATAGAATAGAAAGGCAAAATATATAAGCAAGCAATAAACATTTTGTATTAATGTCAATGTTTTGTCACATTTGAACAAAACTTGGTTTACAAATACTTACTTCTAAATAGGTTGTGCTCCAATTTCAGGCATTTATTAACTGCCTCCGTGGCCGAACGGTTATTACTGCCACGCAGAGGTCCCAGGTTCGATTCCCGGGCCAAGAGAAATATTTGTATGGCCTACATTTATTTCTTTCGTAAGTTTGGGTGTAATTTGTGGTTGTCTATGTGTGTGTCCATGGCACCCACGACACAGGTTTTCCCTAGTGCGGGGCTATGTTGAGTGTGTGCGTTATTGTGTGTTATTTACGGGATTTGACACGATTTAAATCCGGCGTTAATAAAACGCCCGATTAAAACTCGGACGCTTGCCCTTCTCAGTTCATGTGCGTATTTTTATTTTGACGACCTCGGTTGCCCAACGATTTTACTGTGAGTGCTGGATGAGGAGGACCTATTTGGCAATGACTTTTTCTAAATTGTTTCACGTCTGGTACTCACACAGGGAATTCCTAGTTTGATACTAGAGAATTGGTCTGGTTGTCTGGCATCTTATTATCATTATTATAGTACCGACACCTATGAAGGCCGTTTTGACGTTCGTCCGCTCATCAAATTTCGTATTAATTCATAACTAAGCTGAAGGAGCTTATTGATGTACAATGTCGTCTTGGCGTGCAGTAAAATGTATGCAATACCTATATAATTGTACGACACAACTCGATCGTAAAACTTGTTTTCGAAATTTGAAATTTAAAAAATGAAATCTAATACTATCGTCACTTATAGGATCGCTATCCAGCACTTCTAGCTCCGGCAAACTCTCGTCAAAGCTCTATGCAAAACAAAGCAGTTTCGAATTGACGACATATTATGTAAACATTTTTATGTTCGTTTTATTAAAACTTTTTAATCAGCTACCCCTTGCAATACTAGTTATAAATATAAAAACTTGTAAACGCGACTCGCATTTGATTATATTTTTTTCGATAATGAATTAAGATTTGACCTTACTATTGTAATCTGTCTAAACGGCCTTCATAGCGTACCGGTATACTGTATATTGTATTGTTATCACTTGTAATACAACTAATTTCAATTCGATCATCAACTGACACTGTGCCAAAACTGAAATAATTATAATATAACACGCTTTGACCATATAGTCCCTAATAGAAAACAATAGCAATAATAGCTAAGCCCAACATACTTGGAATAACAATTGATGCGCACCCGCATAACATTCGCAAACAGGTTTACATAAATAAACGTGTCAGTATGTAATTATATCTTTTTTATGTTGCTTCGCCACACAAAAAAAAATTTAACATTTTATACTCTTCATAATTTTTTGATAACTTGAAGATAATTTTGGATTCGGAGTGTGTTATGTCCTTATTGGCTATATATTATATATGTACTCGCATACATATGGAAGGCCCTCGCAGGTTATTTTAAAGACACGTAAACGCATCGAAGAATAATCTTTGGTACATTGCCTGCATCCGGGGTCAATGTCTTGATAAACCTCAGGTAAAACTTTTCGTTTTTTAATCTTTATTTATTTAGGAATTTTGTACATGCCAGTTCCATCGTATCCCAAACGATAGCTTACGTGTCCTGGCGGCGCGCTGCTGGAAAGCCGATTCAACAAACAGTGACAGTATTTTTGCCTGTTTCGGGAATTGCCTAGTACACAATTTATAGCACCTACGGATGTTGGGTCGATTTGCGGGTCCCTCATCAACGCCGCCCTCTGTTGCTTGTATCGGACACATTCCAGTATCTTCCAGGTGTAACGTAGTCAAGTGGATTATGATTTTATGTATATGTACTTATATAACAAGAGACATCTAAGTTCTGATCACTTATCTACACTTTATACCTACATTGCATTGCCGGCAAACGGGGTCAATGTCATTGATAAGCTTCATTCGCATAAAGTAACCTTAATTAACGTGGTTGTTGTTAATTCCCTTCTGATTATAGACATGAAGTTCGAGAGTTCCACCATCTCATTAAGGCTCAATTTATATTGCGGCGGAACAGAATGGAAGCGAATTTTTGTAGCGATATTGTACATAGCGTAATGAACTGTATGGCCAAGCGTGAGACGTACAAACTAGGTACAATCCAAAAATCACGTCTCGCGTCTTCCGCGGAATACTAGCGCATTCGTGAGACTACTGTCGTTGCAGGCACAGTGTGACGTCAAACATCATCGACGAAATACTACTGGGTGTCGCTGGCGCGCGTCTTTTCTCATAGTGAGGCGAAATTGACGCTTCCATTCCATTGATTTTCGATCAGGGCTAAAACTAAGAATGTATGACAACGGCATTCAACAGTTTCGAACGGGCTCGCGTCTTTTAGTTGACGGGCTTCGATAGCCATACTTCGTGGGAAAATGGCAGTAACTGCGAATTTTGTACTTCGAGATTAAGCCCCTCTGGTAGGTACACGAATTAGCTACATATAGATATTACCATTTATTATTACTTATGAGACGAATGTTGCAAGCACAAGAGGGTCATGGAAGAAAGTGACGAAAATCATTGATAAAATCTACTACTGTATATACTGGATATTAGTTCCATAAAAAAGATAGGTACCAGGAATATTACTTTTAACAATCTATTTTACTAAGTTTTCAGAGACTTATAACAAACAGTTAAAAGCAAAGTCTTTTCGCTGTTATTTATTTAACTAAACGGAACATAGAATGCATATTGTAGACATTTACGTAAATACTATATCGTTATCCTCATATAGTTAAGATAATATATGTAGTTAAAAATCAAAATTAAAAAAAGCGTTGTGCAGGATATGAAAATCATGCATCATATTTGCGCAACCACAAATCATCATGTTTAATCATGTTCAATCATTAATCAACAAATCATCATGTGGATAGCTTATGGTATATAGGATTTGTGAAGGGACGAAAAAAAGGTTTTAAGTGCCAGTAATTTCACTAGCACTCTTACCCTACGAAACCGGAACGCATAATGCTCATATTTCTGCTTAGCGGCAGAAATAGGTAAGGTGGCACTACTTCAATAGACGAACTCTTTCACAAGGAGATCTACTGATACTAATACAGTAGATAGGATTCTATGATAAAAACAACCAGTCAAGAAAGCAGTATTTTTTACAGGGAAGAGATATACATAAAGAAAAGACAGGAATCCAATTCATTCCACTTTTGTGACCCAAGCTATTAAACAAGCAGCGTCACGTGTTTTTGTTCGATTTGTGGATTGGCGCCTTCGGGTTTATCTCTGCTGCTATACATAAATTTTACGTTGTTTATAAATTGACTCATTTCATCCTTGCTACTAAAAAAAACAAATTCTATGCTATGCCGAATTGTTAATATTTTTCCTGTTAATCCTTTGAATACCCAGTCAAGCAAATTAGCGAAATAAACAAAATACGTAAATCTGGCTTTATATATTTTGTTTATTATTAGGTAGTTATTAGTTAAATGTACCTCTAGAAGATAATTATGAAAATAACACTAACGAGATAGAGATGATGAGTGTAATCGTATAGGTACCTACTAAACGTATTGCTAATACCGAGTCCGTTCGTTATGCCCCTGGTTTCATTTGCCCCCGTTTTATTTCGAAATTTTTCAGGAACATTTACAACAGTTGGCGTCTTAAACTGTATTTTTGTTACGTTCAAAACTTTGTTCCGACTTTCGTATAATGTGGTTTTAACGCTTGTGCAAGTTGGAATAAAGTCTTTGACTTTATTCTAACTTATTATTCCGTCTTATTATTCCAACTTCCTATTCCGGAATTCAAAAAAATTTTGTATAGAATTAAAGTTGATTGTTACTGGCCTTTATTGCGGCCGCAGTGTTCATTTTGGAAATTACTATAAATATTCTTTTATCATCTTACCAATACGAGCTTTTTAACAACCAATAATTTAAACATAATTGTATCTTATTACATATATAAATTAACAGGTTCTTAAACATTTTAGTTGTCAACAGTACTTAATGCAATTGAACTCGTATTTGACAAAATTTTTTTTATCGGGTGCAAACAAAACGGGGGCAAAAGACACTGGGGGCGTGTCAAACGGACCCCCAACTACTAATCGAAAAAATTATGTTTATTTATTTTCTTTTTAAAGATTTGTTATCTACGTTTTCTTCGCGTGTGTACTCAAATCTAGTGAGGTTCATAAAATGTTTTCACAAGTAATTGTAATTTCTATAATATTGTAACTTCAATCCTGTTCTATATTTCTAAATCATTTTCAAGATTCAACTGATGCCTGCAGTTAAAAATAGGTTTAAAAAAGAAACAGTGAAGCGATTTATTAATTAAAGTAACAATTAACAGTGATCACAGGTTTTATTTCTTAACAAATCGATCAAAGTACATGAACAAACTTTTTCGTAGTGACGCCTGCGTAACATTTTAGAGCAAATTCGCAAAGTATTACTGTTGCTTTGTAAACTATTCGTAGGCAAACCAATTTTAAATAAGGGCCCTATCTTTTCCGCCCTAGATCGTATGGCACTTGGCATAACTGTTAAAACGTCCACTTGGAATCAATGAAACTTTTAAAGTACAATGATCGATTATTCTACTAGCAATTCATTCTAATATTCTCTTTCGATATTTTTCAAGTGATATGTTTTTGATAATATGAGAATATATCATGTTGTTATCGTATCGTCGGACAAATAAATAGGATTAAGTTTATAACGAAACTATAAAGAACTAAGTTACTATGTATGCTACATGTAAATTATATACATGATAAATATTCTCAAATTACCGAATGGGCACTGATCCAGAGAAACGGACACCAAAGACAAAAAATCTTACTCAAAAAAGTTTAAGTATTTTTTTACTGTGTATTATTACGTACACACTTTTAATACACGTGGTGAAATATTTTTTTAAATTATCTTTATATAAAGAAGATTTGTTATGTTTCTCTGAAATTAGCGCATGACAAAGTTTTCAATTTCTTTAAAACTGTTGGATGTTCTGATAACTTGGTGATGAGGGTTTGTAATCGTATTCAGACACTTGTCCATTGTCGTTGATGATGCGGTGTCCTCCACTCCTTTGGTTTATTTTCCCGTTAACATTTGAGGAGTAGTGGAATTGGGAGTCCGATTCGCCGTAGAATTTTTCACCGTCGTTAACTCGGTAGCTACGTAGATCGATTTGTGAAAGGGGCTATAAAAAGCAAAGAGATTATGAAATAAATAAAAGGCCAAATTATTACAACAATAGCCAGTTTTCTAGCTAAGATAGGTGTAAAAGTTTTCAAGCATGTTCTGAGATTTGATATGGATTTTCGATTTTTCATACAAATCTTCGTTGCAAAATCCATGAAAAACCGAAAGCTTTCTCCTAAAAAAATTATAACTAAATTTGTTCCGTGTCATGAACCCTTTTGTTAGTTCCTGTATTTCGACTAGAGTGACGAAATTACTCAAAGGTCAATGTCGAAACAAATAGACCGGCAAATAATTGAAATAATTTCGTCTCCTAAATTGATTGATACAAAATAGCCTGGTCTAAAAAGACGCGGTTAAGGTTTACGACCGTGTAGAATGAAAACAAAAAGTGTTACAAAATCAACAATTGTTTTATTTAGTAATTTACTAATCCGACTCACACGACATAGTAACGTGCAAAGTAATTATAATTAATAATGTGATTGTAATTAATAAATTAGTGTAATAAGGAATTAGAGTAGTCTTACACTGTACTATGGGTAAGAGTACGTATATACATCGACAAGAGTGATATACGGATGCTCCCAATGTTTCATATCCAGTACAAGCTTTATGACACAACAAATGGTATTAAGAGCATTCAATCCAATCTTCACGTTATATGTTTATTCGCTCTTTGTAGCTTTTTAAATCTCTTGGCACCCTGGGCACGCCATATCTTTCTGGTTGTAGCGGACACTGTGAATAGGTTCGGGTGGGTGCTAACACAGAGTGAGCAAGGCCAAAGCAAATATACTTACAGTTTATTAATTTACTACAAAACACGTACAGCTATCCAAAACAGAACATAACAGTAAAGAAAAGGCGCCAAACACAATCACATTTAAATTTGGAATTTAAATATCAAACAAATTTAAAAAGACTGTAAAATATATATACAAAAGGGATTGTTGCGATTCGCTACACTGGTAATGATATTTTTTGTAATTTTTCTCGTTTTTGGCCTTACTTTTTATAATAATTAACTATTATAAAAAAGTAGTGGAAGAATACGCGCGTACTCGTGGAACACATTTAGTTGTGTACTCTTACATACTATACCCATTTCAAAATAAAACTACTACTAACGCCGTATATGTTGCAAGTGACAAAAATCATTCGCAGTTTGACCTCTAGACAAGTTTTTGAGCGATTTGGTACAAAGTCAGTATTCAAAACATATGTTTAATTTAGCCTAATAATTTCAAATTAACAAAAAGTTTTACGAAAATATGTAAAAATGTTCAGACTTACGCAGGTTTACAGTTTGCATTAATTTTGTAATATTTTTCCGCACAACAATCTCCACTTACTAATACTACAAAATGACACTGAAGTTGTTGCGTATTGTAAACAACTTAGCGGCAATCGACATAGCGTACTCTAATCGGATGCGTCATCTTAGACTAGACTACCCTGCTGGGAATCGAAACTGAGATTTCTTATGTAAGGCAGCGTAAGGCCTAGAATTAGCGATGAAAGAGAGTCAGTCTTTTAAGGCGTTTTATAACCACTCGACTCGATTTTACAGTACTCGACTCTAAAATTAAGACTGGAGGTTTGAGTTTTTATTAATAAGACTCAGTCGTTATACTAAAAGACTTAAACGACTCGAGTTGTCTGCGATGAATTTATAACTATTTCATGTCTTATTAAACCCGAATTTTATAAATAAAAATGACGTAGTATGTAGTAAATAATCACGTTTATTTACTTATAATAAAAATTAGGATTCAAAGCGTGATTTAAGCAATAGGTACGAGATTTTAAGACCTAATTATACAATGATTGCATATAATACTTTTTCTGCGAGTAAATTAAAATAATGAAATACAACCAATATTTAAAAGTCTATGGAAATCCAGTTCTAACGTGCTCTTTTTTTATTTTGTGTAATATTGGTCTGTAACCACTTTTCTTATTATGAAGTCCTGGTACTTTTGTTTAAACTTTAGAAACCCGTGCACAGTAGTGAAATACAATCTTTATTATCTGTAATACATTGAATAAACATGTATACAAAAATCTCGCCTGTCACCCGGTCAGGGGTAGGCGAGATTTCTCGCGAGGCGAGCGTTTCGGTGTTAAGGGATTTTTTTAGATACCAAAGCGCATTCCATGTAAACGAGCGAACGAATTTGTAGGTAAATAAGCATCTGATTTTATCCGCCACAAGTTATAAGATAAAAGATAAAGAAATATAGACATTCATTTAATACTCACTGTCAGGCTATATTTCGACCTATACGAGTCCTCCAATCTGAAAATAATAAATAGAAAAGCGTAAGAAAAATTAAATTTGGGATTGGTAACCTATGCCAAATACTTTTAAAATAACTCCCGTCTGATATTTCCATCTGACACTATATACTCGTAATACCACAGTCTGAAATGATTTCATATGTGGGTGTAACATTAAGTATGTTATTTTTAGATCCGCAAAAATTGAGAATCACTATCTATAACACCAGAAAGTCAAAGGAATATCCATCAAAAATGAGGATGGACAGTGATAAAATAAGATAGTGCCTATAGCTACAGCCCACGCAGAGCAATTTGGTTTCCCGAAATAGAGATAAAGGTTTCGGGTTTTACGGGCCTAATCTCACCTTATTGTTAGTTCACGAAATGTATGCTGACTACATACTATATGTGTTACAACATTAACGATTTTGTGTGTATATTAGTTGCTTCATGTAATGTAAATGTTTACATATATTTTTTTACTTACATGCATTACCTGTAAGTGCACACCTTTATATCTAATATATTTGAATGTGTACGTTTTATTTAATTAAATGTATTATTTTCTTTTCACATTTAAGTATGCTTGCATATGTTATTTCGTAACCTCAATAAGGGTCATAACTGCAAATCAGTGCTGAAACGCATTGCGTTGTTCCATTTGTTTTGTATCTTTATACTTTAGTAACTTTGTTTATGTTTATTAAATAATCCGTATTTTCACTAGATTAAGGTCTTGTTTTGTTTGTGATTACCTTTTGCAGTTAAATGTGTTTTTAATTTTTTTCTTTTTTTCTTGTGTGCGGTCATTTGTAGAAGTCAAATAAATGTATTTTTCTTTCTTTCTATATTTTGTACCGCCTACGGTGATCAGTTCTCTTTGTTATCATATGTACGATCACCTGCTAATAAATGTTCAGACCTTTTTGTTGCCAACAAAGTTAATTATTATGACAAATATTGCGTTTCTGATGCGATCAATATTTATTTAATAGGGATCTAATAAAAGATTTCCATTCTACTTCTTCTTAAAGGGAAAAATCAATATTTTCCTTTTTAGTTCATAATATAGTCGTTTTATATAGACGGTTCCGGCTCTCCCGGAACAAAAGAAACAACAAAACAAATAATTGAGGAGTTTTTTAGGCTAGTACTGCGATGCGTGCCCCGTGAAATGCGTAGATCCTGCCAAAGCACGTGTCATTGCGGCAAGTACGATTGTTTCATTTATTTGACATTAGACCATTCATTCTTCTTATTGGGAAGTTTCTAACTTGTCGACTCAATGCAGGCATCTACAATGTCGTAAAAAGTGCCTGAAAGATATAAGTATAAAATACGCGTCTACGAATGTAGGTACGCATTAGATTGCAGTATTATATACGAGGATGTAAATAAGTAGTATTTACTTACATTTTTTGCACGATATCCCATTGTCCATTTGCTGCTGCTGAAGCGATGTCGTTCTCCATCGCTGGGAAAGCTGAAATCACGTTGAAAGATCGACGATAAAACATTTGTACACAAGTTTTTGAAATGAGAATTTTGCGCCAGGCGAAGCCTCTCTAATGCGAACGTGTAGCCAGTTTTTTTACGACTTTGGTAGTAGTAAAAAAACCGGCCGCATGCTCGACTTAGATTATTTCCACCATTGGCTTAAAACTGCTTTTGATCCCCTGGGGGTCAATACCTGTAGAATATTTTCATTCATTCATTTCAACCCTGTATCGTTCACTGCTGGGTATAGACCTCCTGTCGCTTCTGCCAATCTTTCCGATCCTGTGCGTTTTTGGTGGTTTCGGGCGCAACTTTTACTTTTATCATGTCATAGAAGATTATCAGATCAAAATATATCATAAAATACGAAAAAAAGCAACGCATTTTAATTAAAATATTTTTTCGGTTCACAGTCAATCGTGACCATGAACCAGGGGTCTACTCTCGATCTCCGTCCGACATCCGTCCGAAACAATTACTGCCAAATAAGCAATACTTGACCAAATGAAAAGACGCGTGATGCGAATGAAGCTTCATACTTGTTGATACTTGTCTTTTCATTTTGTCGAATATTACTTATTTGACAGTAATTGTTTCGGACGGATGTCGGACGGAGATCGAGAGTAGACCCCCTGTAAAAAACCCGAAACAACGACGGTTTGTTTGAAAAAACAAATATACGCAATTTAGATTCGAAAACGATTTTAATTTTTTTGCCCGCACAACAAACCCAAATAGAACTTCATTCTTCTTCTTCAACATTCGGTTAAAAATACATAAGCATCATTTCTTAGATATGGAACGCATAAATATGCTTATACAGCTAATGTCACAGAGAAGTCAACTAACAATAGACACCGTTAAATGTTCACTATCAGCATTTCACATTAAACACAATAAATTAAAGGCGTTTCAGTGATAATGCGAAATTTTCCGTGATGGCATTATTGGGCGTTACTATTCGTACCTATTATATAGTAGCAGTAGAACTCCTTGTGAAAGAGTTCGTCTAAGGACGTACTACCATTTTACCTGTTTCTGCCGCCAAGCATCACTACGTTCCGTAAGGGTGTTGATGAAATTACAGGCACATGGGACTTGTCAACTTATATATATAGCTTAACTTACTAAACTAAATAGTAATCGGTTGTTTTTAGCCAGGTGTCCAAATGTAGCCACGGACTTCCGACTTTTGTCTTCAGGGTGACGCGTGCAGTGGCAGTGCCTCTCAGATATTTGTGATTTAAAGCACTGAGTGGCACTGCAACTGTTATGGATAGGCGTTTCGCTCACCACCAGGCGCACGACTTGTTCGCCACGTCACTTATTGTTATAAAAGATATATAATTAATTACCTGCGTCAAACACACCTTTTTCGTATTAGAAAGTAACTTATTCAAAAATATATTTAAAATTATAAATATTGTAACATGTCATTCCATCCCGAGATTTTAAAGAAATCATAGATGAAGCTACTTCTATATTTTGAAAGCATTTGCAGGAAAAGTAAACTTTTTAATGTAAAATCATTCGAATATCCGACCACTACTTTAACATATGCCGCCAGTCAAAAAACGATGGAGGCACAATTTTACGACTTGTTTGTCCCATCACTTAGTATTATGAATAAATAAAAAATTGTTTTCGTTATAAAACATTGACATAATCAATGGAAGGCGCCATGAGACTCGTAAAATTCTTGTACCATTATTGAATATTATCATATAACTCGTATTATAATGCAATTTATATTCAAATACTATAAAATGTAGTATTTATGTGGATCTTCGGCTTATTTAAAGCGCTAATGTCGTCTAATGGTTTTATTATTGTTTTAAATATGCAACAACACGTATATAGTCACAGTGTGTTTTCATAACACACAAAGCAATTCAATTATTATTTTTAAACAATATCATGTTTTTACTACCAAGAAATCTGTCTACTTTTTGAGAAAATACGAAGGAAAAAATAATTTAAAGGTAATAGCGAGATCCATAACTTCTGCTGGGTCGATGCGAAATCTAGTTGGATAGAGCGGTAGTCATGTTGAGGCAACAGACACTTATTCGAGTCCAGTCGATCGAAGGAAATTTTCTTTCTGTGTTTATGTGTTTTTTTGGTATTTATATCAATAATAATAAGGCGACTCATTAATAACCTAAATATTATAAAATGTAATTGAGCACATTACAATTTTTTTTTAACTAAACTATTTGCAAAATTTGGAATAGGTAATATTAAGGTTAAAACGTATTTGCTAGTTTAAGATAATATGAAATGTGCCGCAACCGTCATTTGGTATCGTAAAAAAACTATTTTATTCCATTATCTGCAGTTTCATTGACCACAGTTTAAAAAAGTGTAGGTACGAAAATAAATTCTATGCAAACTAAAACGCGTTAGGTACACTTTATATTTATCCAGCTGGTTTACTCGCATTTATTCCAGAGATTATTTAGTTATCCGTGAAATAAGAACCACTTAGTTCCAGTAGTGGAACATCTACTTACCTTTTTGTTATTTTATAGTTATGAATATATGCGAATCGGTACCTACTAAGATCGATTTGAGCAACTTTCCGAATAAATTGAGGGAGTTAATTTAGCTGAACTAAAGAAAAATGTGGACATTCCCTTCTACAAATCCCGGGATTTCTCGGACTGATTATATTTAAATATGCGCATTATTTATTGAAATTTGAGTACATTAGTGACAAATCATTACTTCCTATTAAGAATTTGCTACAAAAAATAATATAGTGCTTGTGTTTCTACAGGTACTTACGTATTTAAATACTCTAGCCATTTAAAAAATAAACATCAAACATCTTGTATCTTAGGGTGTTTAGAAAATAAACAGGAAAAAAAAGACATTTTATACGCATTGATGACGAAATAGGTACCTATGTCGATACAAAGAAAACGTTCGTACCTTAGGGTAAGTAGTAGTAATAGATTATTAAAGATGTCAATAACTGGAAAATTGTTCTGTTGTATACAGTCTATACTATAAACACTTTTATTTCTTCACAGACCGTCCGTGACTCTTTTTAAGACCCAAGTTTTAAGGTTCAGCTGCACGGTCGAGTTCCACCGCAAGTAATTTCTATACAGGCTGCTGTCAGTGCCGTGTAAAAAAATAGAGTAAGTACCACGTGCTCACGCACACGGAGTGTCGTTTTCCCTTAAACACATACTACGCTTGTGCATTTAATTCGCGGTGAAGGTCATCAGTGTAAACTGGCATTTAATCGCGAGATAGTGATACAAATTTAGTCAGTTTTAGACTAGAACGACGTCGTTAAACGAAACGACTTATGTAATAAGAAATAACGCACAGGCAAAGTGCACATTATACCTACATACTCAAAAAGCAACTATTAATAGATTTGACAAGTACGTGTCGTATTGTTTAAATTTAACCCATGACGGTTTTCGTTAATTAAAATTAAATAAACGCCAATCGTAAATGCTTAGTCAAGGATTTTACTGCGTTCCCGGAACAATTTAAAACCCATGATTAGTATTAAGAAAACTATATTTTAATTGCTTTGTTAATGACTAATTATAATCGTCGATCTGTGGAGTTCTACCATGTTTTTTTTATAATATTAAGTGACGGGACGAACAAGTCTTGTGCCTGGTGATAAGCGACACGCCTGTCCCTAATAGTTGCAGTGCCACTCACAAATTTAATTCGCAATCATCTGTGGGGCACTGCTACTGAGCCCGTCACCCTTAGACATAAGTTGACAAGTTCCATGTACCTGTAATGTTCACATTACTGCTTGGCTGCATAAATAGGTAAGGTTGCCACCTTCCCTGGACGAACTCTTTTACAAGAAGCTCTACTGCTACTAAAAAGGTTTATATGTATAATGTGTCGTGTGGATAATTTTATGAAGCCGTACCTTTGGTTTTATAAAACCACATCTCCAAAATGGCAACTTTTCAGAAGAGAGGTTTAAAGTTTATACGAACGAAATTAGTGGATAATTTTTTTTTATAGACTTATAAAACTTCACAAGTGCATCATTTGTTTCATGTTGTTCTTATTATTTTTATAATTTTCGTGTGATAAAAGCACTGTTGTCGTATGATCGCATGTGCTTTTGTTATACCAAGGGTATAAAGCGCTTCTTTTTTATTTGATATCGGCTTACTCTGAAGGTAAATAAAGGAATGTATAAGAAGATACGCGTTCGCCTAAAACATGCTTGACAGGTTTAATTGGGTGTTAAATTATAAAGAAGCCAGAACCTAAAAAAATAGTGCCTAGTTTTTTATTTACTTTTCATAAGTCTCAAGAAATAAAAAAATGTGTCTGATCGACCTGGTAAAATACAAATCGAGGCTCTCATAATAAAACTCTTTGAACAATAAGGAAAATGTCCAAAACAAGAAAAAATACGTAACGTTGCGCATTGTCGTTCATGGTGAATTAAATTTTCGTTCTGTCTATTTAAACGTTGTAATAATAATTTTCTCCTATACTAATTGTTTATTTATATGCAATGCCTCCGTGGCCGAGCGGTTATCATGCTGGACCTCTGCGAGGTTCTGGGTTCGATTCCCGGACCGGGAGAAATATTTGTACGGCCTACATTTATTTATCTCATGAGTTTGGGTGTATTTTGTAGTTGTCTATGTGAGAGTCCATGGTACCCGCGATACAGGATTTCCCTAATGCGGGGCATAAAAAAATGCCATTTGTTTGTTTACATCTCACAGTTCCTCCTTTTTTCACTCTTTCTCCATCTTCCTAATGCCGTTTCAAATTTCATTATTTAGTTATTATACGTTTCCACGTTTTAAAAACAATCCAAAACATCTAATAAGCGGCTGAAACGCCAACCGCGAAAAGCCAAAAAATACGAAAAAATTTACTTTATACCACTTTATACTTTATACAACTTTATACCAGTAAACATAAAACGTTGCATAAATAAAAGCAAACTACAAATAAATACAATAATAATAATAACGCTCACACTCAGCATACAACATACACATATCGTGATTTCAATGCTACGTCATTAGATTTCATATATTTTTCAAATGATACATTGTGTGTATTTTTACGTTTACCCAGTGGTTTTGAAACTAATCATTGCTACAAACACAGCTTTTTGCGTAAGTACGCTAATCATATTTGAATAGCAAGAGGGATATTGCTTAACTCAAAATGTACCTTCTACATCGCGGCGTTATTAGGAGGCGGAGGTGTTATATCTCTTCGTCAACCTTATTAAGGCCATATTTTAAAATTGCAGCTTTTCAAGAGAGGTTTACAGATTATACGACCAAAATTAGTCAACAGCTTTAATAAATAGGAGAGTTACAAAATTTCACATATACTTAATTTATTTCATGTTTTTTTTTAAATATTAAGTTACGGAACGAACAAGTCGTGCGCCCGATAGTAAGCTACACGCCTGCCCGTGACAGTTCCAGTGCAACTTAGAAGTTTAAATCTTATCGACTTAAATTGACAAGCCCCATGTACCTGTAATTTCACCAGCACCCTTACCCTTCAAAACCGGATCACAGTAATGCTGACATTATTGCTTGGCGGCAGAAATAGGTGTGGTGGCAGTACTTCAGTGGATGAACTCTTTCACAAGGAGCTCTACTGCTGCTAATTATATTGTAATTCTTTGTAGTTCTTATTATTGTTATGACTGTGATAAAAGCTCTTTTAGCGTATGATCTCATGTGGCATTATTACATCAAGGTTACGAGATTATAACCTTTTCAAACAATTCACGAACTGTATAATCAGTTTTAACCGCGTTACAAATTATTAATTTTTAAACGGTGGCACCAGGATGCGTGCAATTTTGCCTGTATTCACTCAATTGGCTGCGACAATTTCGCTGAAGCATCCGCAATTTATGCTATATTATGACGTTGGACCTTGGCGTAATTTTAAGTTTTATCAACATCGCGAACCGAACCAATAAAGCGAAAATGTTTACTCTTGTTTTTTTCGCTATTTCTATTACGTTAACAAATTTTGAATTGTATTTGCAGAAATACAAAAAATAAAAACTATATTGGTTGCTAATTTAATTTAGAAGATGTGCTCAAGTATGTCATAAGTATTTATTATTATAAGACCTTTAAATATGAAACAGCATTCGTTTAGCGTTAATTCACAAATTTGAGGAAAATTTGATTTAAAATTTGAATTTTGATGCAACATTATGAAGAAACAGAATGGAAAGTATTTTTCAACTTTAAAATTAGATCTAAAATTGCATTTACCGAATCCAAGAATACAAAAAAAAATACAATTCCAAATTTGAAAAATAATTATTAGAAAAGTCTCACCTTGGCAAGTGAAAATAACCGCTACAGCGACGACCACTACGACGTACTTTGCCATGTTATTTGTTACTAATATTTGTTTTTTTTTTTATAGAAACGAGAATCCACACAAGTATTATAACTTGTCTATAGTCACCGATTGTTCGACTCGTTCGAGCTTCCGCGATGTAATGCCGCAAAGGACCGCCGCCATCTCTACGTTTAGGTATGTATATCCTTCGGTAAAATGCGAACTTGACATACAGAGTCGACTCAAGATGGGCAAGTCTTGTTTATCTTTTAAAATTCATATCCTTGGAGACTCGTGTAGTTTTTATTTGACATTTCAAATGTTTTAGATGCATATATAACTTGTTTATTGTTTTGGAAATGGTTTGTGCAGTATTTACGAAAATAACAAATATAAAAAAAAAACAAAAAATTTAATACCAATTAAAAAAAATTTATAACTTCCGTGGTCGAGTGGCTTACCGGTTTTCATGATGTCGTCAGCTCCGAGGTCCCAGGTTCGATCCCCGGCTGGGTATTGACCCGGAACCGCCTAGACCCGAGAAAGAAAAAGAGAGAGAAAGTAACTATTCTATATTGTCATGTAGAAAAAGTAACTGTTCTAGTTTTGTTGGGTGTTGCGATACCGTCTTTATTTATGGTTTTCGTAACACAAGCGCTATTTGACATATATTTATTATATAATATACATATTTGCCTCGGCGGGAACGGAGATTGCTTGACTCGTATTTCTCATACTGGTTCCTTACTTCCCGGCCTCTGCAATATTACGTACGAAAAAAGACGAACGTACCTAATTTTTTATACAAAATTTCATTCATTGTTGGCAGTGCAGTAAACTTCACACTCAATATTTAGGTATCAGGTATTAAGTTAAATACACTAATCGAGTTCTTAGGTTTTCGCGATTGTTACACATAGGAAATGAAACTATTTTTCCGGATTTAAATCGCGTATATCAACCGGTTGACTGTCAACCGTGACCATGGGACCTGTAAAGGGCCCGAAACGTCGGTTTGTTTGAAAAAACAAATATACGCGATTTAAATCCGGAAAAATAGTTTCATTTCCTATTAAATACACTAATATCAAAGGATTTTGCTTAGTACTTAAGTGTATGGTAACTTTATTATGTAAATCAATTACAAGTATTAAAAGTTATATTTAAATTAGTTACACAATTATATGAGTAATAATACTTTTATAATTTTTCTCTTCTAAATTATAAGAGAAAATGAAGATTTTTTACTATTATTATTATATTAAGTGACGGGACGAACAAAGTACCTTGTAGTAAGCGACCATCTGTCTATAGCAGTTGCAGTGCCACTTAGAACTTTAATAAATCTCAAAGATCTGAGGGGCTCGCCAAGCAGTAATGTCAGCATTATTGTGTTCCGTTTTGAAGGGTAAGAGTGCTGGTGAAATTACAGGCACATGAGACTTATCAAGTTGTGTCTCAGTCTCAAATTATTATAAAAAAAAGATTTTCATGGGATCCCCTCATCTGATTCCGACTTCTTGATGACAATGGGACTGTTACGGACACCTTTCAAGTGTAAAGTCGACTTTCATTTGCGGAAAATAATTAGTGATTTATGATAGCCGAAATAGCATCCGGGATCACCTCGAGAGTAACAAAACAAAAAAGAATTTTCAAAATGTGAATACACGGACTTGCCTATAAAATTTGAGACTATCCTTCGATTTTCATGGGATTCATCAGATTAGACTTGGCGACAATGGGACTACCACAAGAGTGCACCCTTTCAAACAAAAAAAGAATTTTCAAAATCGGTCCACAATTTACGGAGATATCTGAAAATATACATACTGCGGAAATAACCTCCTCCTTTTTTTAAGACAGTTAATAATATACTTTAACTCTTATAATAATAACGCATAGAATGATAGTTTCATATCAAACGAACTGTCACAAGTGAGGCAAAAATCAAATTCATGTTGGCTAGTTTTAGTAGTAAGTTAATTTTCGGTTTTAGTGAATATTTATATAAAAATACAAGTTGAAACGCGTTACTTCCTTATGGAACGTGATGTTAGTATCTATTTTATGTTTGTCTGATGTATTTTTACACTCATTTACCGCACATTTCTTCATTTTTAGCTAAAATTCTTGATCTGTTCGCGGTGCAAGTTGACCTTGAGCACTGAAGGCCCGCCCGCTCGTGTAGGCCCTTTGGGCGTGCTTCAATTTGCTTCACTTAGCGTGTTCGGACTAGGTTTCTATGTGTTATTATTCTAAGCTTTAACTATTACTTTTTATCAGAGAAGCTCGGTGTTTTTTTAACTCTTTTTAACGTTAGTATCGTTTTTTCGTGGCAGTATTGTTAACCTCTATAATACCTTTAATACGATCTCGTTATATCATCGAACCGGTATTGACTTTATGACTCGTAAAATTTAATTTCGTATTATTGGCATGCCAAACGTTATTGTGGTTTGCTGATTTGTTACTCGACTTTCGAAACGGAGTTATTATATTATTTACCTTCATCTAACGTTATAATGAAGATAATAGAAGGGTTTTTTCACAAGGAAGCAATATACTAGCACTTTATTGTACCCACAGCGTAAAGTAACAAGGTTCTTCTATTGTAGCACCCTCACTATAAGTGTATATGTATTCTGTGACGCTCAAGATGGAAATATATTTGCGACCAATAGTAACAATTTTGTTTCTAATCACCCCTTATGAATCGGTACAACCTCAATGGCTTTGGTTGATTCCACACAACAGTGAAAGTGTTGAATCAAACACCTTGGAAAAAATATATGCATAGTAAAATTGAGGATTTACAGTGATTAGTAGACGAATTCCAAAAAATTTTCACAATAGAAAAAAAACACAAAGTTACTTTGAAATTTTACACGAAAACTGCTGTATTAAATAAGTACTTTACATATACCAGTGATTTTTTAAATGTCAATTTAAACTAAATAGAATACACATAGTATACGATATACATTTTTCAAATGGCTTTAAATCGTTAGTAAAAAAATAAATTCTGAAATGTCCAGTGTCCCTGCCGCTAGACGCAAGCAAAATGAACCGTATTAGCACGGGAAAAATTTTAATTTGAGCAAAGGTACTATCGGCTCTTAAGGAAAACAACAATGATATTTCGGTTGCCTTGAAACTTAATGTCCAAATTTCTAATATTAATATCATAGCAATATCGATTATGCTATATGTATGAGATATCATCTCCTAGCTGTCGGAATATAATGCACACCTACACCCAAACTGAAAACATACATACAGCCCAAAATACTTTGTACGATATTTAGTTTAGTTCAACAAAACCAAGATATATGCATTCCAAAACCGCGTGAAGAAACTACTAACATTTAATAGTAATATTATGGTAGGTATACAACAATGATAGTCGTACATTGGACGTGGTGCCATCTATCGGTAACATTTTTTTAAAACTAGAAATACAGTTATTAGCTAGTACAACCTCATAATATGTGCGTTGCATACATGTGAAAATACGTATAATATATATATCCAACGATATCTATCTACCCATTTAAGGTCGTTAACAACTTGCCTCTACCATGAATGTACAGGAATAATTTGTATCTGGTAACAAAAACCAAAAACAAAATATTTGAAATGTTTGTGTGACAAATTCCACAATGCTTCTAGCGGTCAGAAGAATAAAAACTTTTAATACAAATATTTTACAAGGTCTCTATAAAGTCATGATAAAGGTCCGTCAAAAGCATTTTGGTTAACATTTATATTCAACTCTACGCCGCCAGTTTTAAATACCGTTCAAAATCCTAAGTTTCAAGCTTGATGATCGTCATCGGCAGGAATATAAATTGTTCTTTGTTGTAATGTAGTCATTAATACTATTTATATATTTGAAATAAATAATAATCACAAAATATAATATTGGATTTAAAAATTATCTTCAATATAGATTTGTTAAGCGCTATCTAGCAGCATGGGGTATTCCTAACTTTTTTCGTTGCTTGTCGTACGTATGTAGTTACGTCATAATTAAAAGCTTTTATATAAAACAGATTTTATATTGTTTTATTGTTTGAAAATTTATTAAAATTTTATTGTTTTTTATTGGTATAACAAATAAAAAATTAGAAACAGGAATTTAAAAAATATATAAAACAAAAATTATTTGAGTAATAGATATAGATTTAGTAGCAGTAGAGGTCGTCCAGGGAAATATTGCCACCTTACCTATTTCTGCCGCGAAGCAGTACTGTTAGCATTACTGTGTTCCATTTATGAAGGGTAAGGGTGCTGGTGAAATTTCAGTCGCATGGGCAGCGCCCCTCAGATCTTTGCGACTTAAAGCTCTGAGTGGCACTGTAACTGTTATGGACAGGCGTGTAGCTTACCATCAGGTGCACGACCTGTTCGTCCCGTCACTTGATATTATAAAAAAATGTTCTTCATAAGGAATGAAACTACTTTTCCGGATTTAAATCGCGTATATTTGTTTGCCTTAACGGTTGAGTTAACCGTGACCATGGGACCAGTAAACAGCCCGAAACGTCGGTTTATTTGAAAAAACGAATATTTAAATCCGGAAAAACAGTTTAATGTCCCATGTGTAACAATCGTGAAAATCTAAAAACTTTAAATGTTCTTCAATTTGGTAATTTAATAGTGAAATAAATTACTTACTTCTCTATATTAGATCGATAGATAGATAAATCGTTTGTTTGCAGAATCACAGTACATTATAAACAAGTTTATGTCAATATAGGTACAATGGTAAAAATAAAAAAGTCTAGCTATTTAGGTGTGCGGGTGTGGTCTGGAGTGTTATATTGTGTCGAGGTGTAGAGTTGAGTGTAAGTAGTTACTGTGTCAGCAAAAAAGGCCTGACCCATCATTATGCCGCAGTTCAGTCGAACTACAACGCTGACGATTCTGCCGTATCATAAGGTGAAAATATACGGTAAAAAGGGAGTAATTCAGAATAGAAAATCAATACAATGTCAGGACCTAACTATAGGTATAGTTATATAAGTACTTATATAAGCTAGAAAAGGTGAAAAAGGTACTTAGAAAGAAAAGAAAAAGTTGATAGGTGTATGCGTGTGAGTAAGGCGCGATGCCGACTTGCCGGATCGCTCGGCAGCGGATCCTTCGGCA